CCCCCCCCCCCCCCTCTCTCTCTCTCATTGTGTAATTGTTTGGAATTCTATAATCACTTTGAATTTCGTGATAAATCATTGCCGACTTGTGGTCGTGGTCTTCTGTGATCTGTCTTCCGTGTTGTGGCATCTGGGTTCGGGGCTTGAATTGTTGCCTGGATTACATATTAATGATTTGGGCATCGAAGATATTTTTATGGGTAGTTCTAATTTTCTGTGTTTTATAAATTTGATTTTTTTTTTCAGCATTTATAGAAATTTTTTATGCTCAGTGGGATACCTTATTTATCTGATTACTGTAGTATGAGTAAGTGGTGTGTGAGCAATCCATTAGCCAAAAGATTTATTTATTATTTTTTTCTTGAAAATTCGAACAAGCGATGAACAAGCTCTGATACCAGGACTTATCCCTCTCTGTCCCCGCTTCATATCGTATATATTACATGTCATATACATTAATGATTGAGTCGAAATAGGGCTACAAGCATACTCAATTTCATCCTCTACTCTTGAATGCTTCTACGAATTCAATTTTTATGTTTTCACCTAGCATTTTAAATTTTTGGATGAGTAATCTAATATTTTGCCTTTGGATAGTTTGCAGGAAATGCATATACAAGAAACTATCAGATGAGGAAATGGAATGCTGTCCAATTTGCAATATTCATTTAGGATGTGTTCCATTGGAGAAGTTGAGGTCAAATACTTCTAACTTATTTTCTGTTGCTGTCTATCTCTTGTGTGTGCACAATCAACTGAAGGACTATGTTGGTTTGAGCATTCACTTTCCATTGCCCAAAATCATTTTCAGACTCCTTTGATACAGTCATTTATCTTATACTTGAAAAGCCTTCTGGATTCTGGAGCTCATAACTGAGTATTATTTTTTCTTTATAGTTACAATGCCAAGCTTATTTTTCATAGATGGAAGAAATGTCTGGGGACATCATTGAACTCATATTACCTTCACTGTCCAATACTAAGTTCTTCAAGAAATTGTATGCGCAAATTTAGCTGTGCTCAACTTTTGAAATTTCAAATGTTTGAGGATGGTGATAGTGCTGTAGTTCTGCAAAATAAAGAAGAAAAAGATCATTAAGAGAATTAATTTAGGCATATTGAGAACAAAACATGAAATGGTGAAGGTCTATATTCACTTTTATTCATTTGTATATAATAATTAACGGCGTATATACTGTTTTATTGAATTTTTTTGCAAGGAGATGCAATTTTCCCATTTATTATATTCCTATCTAAGAGAATTGTTTGTTAAACTTTTTATTTTGATGGTTGATAGTCTAATAACTTCAAGTATAAATTAAACCGCTATCAACCCCATAGGTACTTGTAAGTAGCATTAAGCTCTGAATTTAAAGTGGTTCATAGCTTGTTTGTTTACACACTTCATCAGCAAGTAAAGTTTATGCTTGTAATAGCCTGTGGAAGTGCATTAATGTGAATTTGTTAAGGTAGTAGTTTTTTTTGTGTTAAAAGTGTAAAACTGGTAATTTGTGTATCAGGCCCGATCATAAATTGCAAGATGTAAAGGCAAAGATATTTCCTTCCAAGAGAAAGGTAAATGCAACTGAAGTGTTGACTCCAGTTCCATTACCTGCAAAGAGAAAGGAGAGGTCACTCTCATCACTGGCGGTCAGCGCTCCTAGAGCATCAGCACACAGTGGAATGACAGGAAGAAGATCAAAATCTATCGCAGGAAAAGCATCAAGAAGTTCCAGTTTTGCAAAAAAGAAAGCTGTTGACAAAGAGGAAGACTCAGTGGAAGACCACCCTGAGAGCTCTAAGTCACCTGAGACTCTAAACAAATTTTCTCAAAATACCAGGCTGGTAAGGGAAATATATCTGACAGTTACATATATTGCCTTGATTTTAGCATTCCACCTGCCTTTTGTCTACACCTTATGCACATTTCTCAAATACCATTCTTCGTGCTTACTGATGTTGCTGGGACAGAACCCTAATGCTGCTGAGACGTCTAGCAGACTTAGTCCTGATGAAGGAAGAGAGAATGGTTCTGAACCATGGAAAGGGAAAGTTGATCTTTGGAAGCCCTTGAATTGTTTGGTGGAAGCAGCAAATAGGAGTAAATCTTCTCAGCTTACCCCACAAGGATCTGTTGCTAAGTCGGAATCTATACATACCCATGATAACGAAGGCCTTGTCCGTAAAACCAAAAACAAGGAACCCGGGACAAAGTCAAAAGTTCAACATGACAAGATTGGCAAAGACAGTGACCATGGGGAATCAGAAAAACCTAAAAAAATGCGTAGGATCCAGCAGAAGAAGGGACATAATTTTGGAGAGTTTAGAATAGAACCCCAGAATGTGCTCAATGCTGCCACTGCTATCTGTGAAAAAAGAAATAATCCAATTTGGTTCTCTTTAGTAGCATCTGATGACCAGTAAGCATTTATTTCTACTAAAGGGATCATATCTTCTGAATAGACTGGATGCTATTCTATATATTATCTCTGTTTCTGGTTTTTTCTGATTTACTGTGATATGTTTTCTTAGGGAAGGTCTGGAAGGAGATGCACACTTGCCACAAATTTCTGCAAGCTACTTGAGGATAAAGTAAGTTCTCATTTGCTTCACTTCATTCTGGCTAAGGAATGATCGACATTCATAAATTAGGAAATGTGCATCTTGCGTTGTTATTGTCCACCAGAAATGTCTTGATTTAGTGACTTGTATCTTCATAAATTATGATACTTTCTTGTCGGCGAAGTTATTCATTAGCAATGAAAGAAAGGTGCTCATTACTATGATTGTATGGGAATTTCACAAATATTCTATCTGTTATTTTTACTACTATTTCGAGTTTTGAGCATCCTATCCCTGCTGTTTTTTCTGTTTCCACCTGTGATAACTGGTAACTGTTCTCCAGACTGCAATGATATGATGCAGTTCTCCAACCCTTTTCATGGTCCAGCTGGAAAGTATAGTCATATTTTCACAACAATGTGTCATTTATGGAGTTCTACGAGTCAAAATGAATTGACGATGCTTCTGTATGTTGCGGTATTAAAGTTCATGAAGTAGAAAGAAAAGAACTTCTTATCGTACAGATTATGGCTGAAATACCATCTTTCTGTTCATATCTGCTTTGTTCTTCTCAGGGATGGGAGCATACCAGTTTCTTTGATCCGTAAGTACCTGAAGAGGAAGTTGGATCTTACAAGTGAAGATGAGGTAAGTAATCCCATCCCTTCAAATTAATTATCAATGGCTTCTATTTTCGCTAACATTAAATTTAATTAGCCACTGTGGATGTCTGCACGTACGAGAAGCTACAATGGCTTATCGATCCAGAAAATTTGTTTTCTTCGTGATTCTTAATAGGCCTTTAATAGTACTTAGCATCTGCTAGAAGTCATATTTGCAACGAGTATGGATGGTGATTTTTTAGATATTCACTTTGTAGGTTGAAATTAAATGCATGGGACAGTCAGTCGTCCCCACATTGACACTGAATAATCTAGTTGATATATGGCTTCAAACAACTACTTCAGAGAGAGTATCAGCCACTGCTGGTTCATCAGCGAAGGATTTTGTGATGGTGTTAAGCTACACTCGCAAAGTTCCCAATCCTTGAACGTCTATCGCTTAGAGTCCCTTATAAGTCTCAATTGCAATTCCGAGCATGCATTGAGTCATTGAGAGTTGTAATTTCTTGAAACCATATTCCTACCAGAGGCCTGAGCACATTCTCATAAGTTGAATAGAAACAGATGAGCTGGTGAATTTGTTCCCTAGAAAAGAGGCTTTACTTATGTTTTATTCATATCAGGACGGACGGGTGCGCTTGAGTTCTTGTATCTGTTATGTTATAGGTGCATTTTCAACTCTCTATATTTTCCTATAATCTTGAACCTTGACAATGTAATACTACAAGTATTCTAAGTTTTGTTTTGTGTGTATACTAAACTTCTACATGTTTTGTTGGTGCTAGAATTGTGATATCGTGCCCGTTTGGCAAGGCTTTTGGAGGGTATTTGGTGGGGATTAAAATTAGATTTTTAGTGGATTGTGATAGAAGTTTTTGAAATGTGTGGTTGAAAAGATGTGGGACCCGTAAAAGATGCTAATATTAATTGTTTAATTTTGACTTAAATTAAAATCAGATTTTAATTCGGCCCAAACAGGGCTTGAAAAGTCAAAAATTACGTGTTTATGAACATTCTTGGATAGAACTTCATATATATTCTTAAAAAAATAACACATCCTAATAGTATGTTTGGTCAAGTGGGCTCAATAATTAAACAAGGTAATATACTAAAATCTCAACCATTATTGTCCAGTCTAATTCAGTTCCACACGCCAAACAATGCTTAAGCGTATAAAAACATAAAACATTTACAATACATCTATTTTTCTTCGAACACCTAAATTGTTACATGTTATGAAAGAACCTATAAGTATTTATATCTAATATGATGAATCTGACTGCACCAATACAGCCCAATACTGCAACTATAGAGAACCAAATGGCTATAGCAATGTTCAGTAATAGCACTGGAAACCTAAATTTCACGTTTGATGGAATTCTCCCAGCTTTTATATGTGCCAAAACTGGGAATACAAAGTCTAATGGAGTGAAACCAATAGCTCCACAAATGGAAACAAAATCCCCAAAGAAAGGCATGGCTGAAGCAACTAATGTTACAAGTCCCATGTAAATTGATGTGTAAAATAAACGACGTACGTTCACAAAGCGCCTGTTTGGTTCTTTGGATAGAATTCTTCCCTCGAAATATGCATATGTTGGTCTACAGTATATCTGCACAAGCCATACACAATATTCCATGTTAGTTTCCGTCTACCCGTATCTCTTCTGATTTTTTCTAGCAAGATCGTGTCAATATATGATTGGACGCCTCTTTAGGTCTAGTTTAATCATCTAAAATTACCTGATAGCAACCGGATATTTGAATTACTGCAAAAAGATTTGCCATGACAGTTGTCCATCTAGGCGTTGTAAGAGAAGCTACAATATAAGGCTCGACTTCTGAACCGAACGCCCAATAGCCGCAGAAGGCTAATTGCCAGTAACTTAAAACAATGACAGTGTATGCTGCTGATACACCCTTGTACATATTCTTTCTCACAGGCTGTCTCACTGTACTCTAGCAAAATAAGCAGAAAAAATAGTTCAAAAATGTACTAGTATTTATGAAAATTGTTGTATCAGTTTTTCCTGATTTAAGGATAAATTGTTTTACTTGTATTTCTGGAAGCATTGCATCTCCAAATGAAAAGGCAATTGCACCAAGAGCATTGAAGGCTTTGAACAGTTTAGCAGATGAGCTACCTTGTAGACTGTAACTGATAGATTTTCGATCCACCGTTCTCCCTACAAAATGTTGATGATTCGTCACTTTTCGGGTCCTAGTTGGATACTTGGATGATCCAATGTGGGATTTTAAAACACAAGGATTTTACGTGATTCAGTCCGTAGGTGGAGAAAAGAAGAACTTCACTAAGGAGATAGGAGAGAATTCGAAGGAGTACATTGAACTCAATCCCAAACCACCAACAAAATACATACTAAGGGATACTGCAGAGTACTCAAACCGGAATCCCCAAAACGTATGTAACTAGGCGACGAAGGATCCCAAAGCCTCACCACAAGACAGTTAAGCCTCTCGGATTCTTCAAATTTTATAACTTTATACGAAAGACTTACCGTTATGAATTGTTACGCCAATGGTTGTAGCAGCAAAACTTATCGTGCTGAGAGTACACAACGCATTAATCCATCTCAACGAATGGATATTCGGTAGTTGTGACAGAAAAAGTTCGAAGGCCCCAAAGAAAATAATGAAATGCTGCAATGTTAAGGTGCCATTGGGATGATAGTACTTGTATACTGCCTGTGGACATAAACAGGCTCTACTTAATTTCGACTTATAATTGATTTCATTTTCTGAGAGTTGTTTAGGTTTCAACCTTTAGGCTGCTTCCAGCAGCAATTTGGATGGCAATGTTATTGCCCAAAGAAGCCACCTGCTGAAAAAATGCAATAGCCCAGTATCCCCATGATCCTTCAATATCAGAAAAATATTATTGTAGTCAAGTAAAATTCCAAAAAGGGATTCATTTCATAATCAAATATGTTATGCGAGGAACAACTAGAACAGCTTAAACTTTTAAATGAGATAAGTCGAGTGAAACAGACCGTAAATACTCCGAGCAAGATGCCGATAAGTGGTGTGCTTCTTCCCATCCCATCTCCAAAGAGAAGCAATCAACAGGCTAGAATACCAAGTAGCAACTGTCCCTCCCACCAGACTACAAACACCTACATCCCAAAAAAAATAATAATCACACTTGAAAAAATTGATTAACACAAAATCAAATTGTGATCAATTACCAAGTGGCCAGCCGAGAGAGGCTACGGCGAAAGGTAGCGGAGCGTAGGCAGCCGGGGTGGCGATGGTGGTGGCGACGTGGAAAGCGGCATGTCTCCATGTGCCTCTAGCTTCATCTTCTTCATGCCCATTAAAATGTGTTATCTCATCTCTTCCGTGTACTGGTTCGTGTCGTTTTGTTTCTTGATCATCATCGCATACGCTATTTTCAGAATTCTCAGCTGCCATTTTTTGGGACTTGTGAAAATTTACAAAGATAATAAATATGAAAAGTCCAAGGTGTGGAGTACATGTACAGATAGAACAGCAGTTTGACTTGTTTTTCTATGGTAGAAATTGGGAAATTGAACACTCCACTTTGGTGCGCTGGTAAATGTCAAAGCTATTCACCATGTTTTCACACCATCAACAGCCTGTTGGGGGACTTGTATTTGTTTCGGCAGTGTAACCTACAATCCGCTCGACCTAGTTACAAACCAATTCGACGAGGAGGGAACTGTAGAATTTGGATGAGTGACAGTGATCAAATTTGAGAAACAACGTGACAGAAAATACACTTAAATGGGTAGATTCAATTGTGTTCTAGGCCGCCAGAACGAGTAGTCTATCTAGTGAGTTTGGACTGGCACGACGACAGGGACCGATTTAGGGGGAGCCCGGCCTAGTCCTTGGCCCGTTAATTTTTTTTAGTGCAAAAAAAAAAAAAAAAAGTTTTCTTGTAAAATAAAACATTTTAGATGTAAATTTATATTTTTCTACATATTAGTTCGACTTGTAATTCGGTCTTGGATTCATCTCTGCACAGGGGGAGCTGTAAGAAGTTTTCGATTTTCTGCTTTCTGAGAGAGGAACAGATTGTTGGAAGACAGGGGAATGAGGAAGATAGGTATTCATTTCCCGTGTTTTGGTGTTTTGTAAAAACTACATTGTTTTGGCTTCAATTTTCTCAAAACGTGCAAAACCATGTTTTGTGCTTTCAGTGTTTTTTTTTTTTTTTTTCAATTTTCAAAAACGCGTTTTCAAAAATACGAAAGAGAATGTGTTTTCACTAATTTGAAAATTGAAAACAGAAAATGGCTTGAAAACGGTAAAAAGAACGGGTCCTAAGTCTTTATAAGATAGGTTGAGTCGAGATGGTCAAATAAAATATAATTTTTGCAGAAAGAAATTAATTTTAAAATTATTTTTTGGGCCGATAAGGCCTGTAGCTCATAGTATCAACTATCAAGCACAACAAGGTGGTCAATGACCATAGCATCGTCGGTGATTAATGACGATGTCATTGACAATATTTCATCGATAATCGTGACAGGGGTGAATCTTGAATAATGTAACAATTTTAAGCCCACTCATTTACGGTTCACTGCTGTAAACCAATTTGGGTGAAAAAATTCAAGGGAAAAATTTATAAGTAAGAGGATAACTATCATATATTTCAAAACTAAGAAAACAAGTTTGGAATTGCAAAAATCAGATTTTTATTAAAATTTATTATGATTTAATTAATTAATTGAATATAATGATATCATAATCATACAATTAATAGTCACAAGTACATAATTAATTGGTCACATATTATTTTTGAGGTCACAATTCAAAAATTTTATAAGTCACGAATTATTTTGAAGTCACAGTTCAAAACTTTTATAGGTCACAATTTGTATTTCGATCACAGATCAAAAATTTTGGGAGGTCACTGATTATTTTTTGGTCACAAATCAATAATTTTAAAGGTCACGGATTATTTTATTTATCACAAATCAAAAAATTACAGGTCACGGATTAATTTTTAATCACAAATTGTCGAATTTTAAGGTCATGGATAATCCATTATGCGGTCACAGCTAGTCTAATCTATGACCACACTACAACAAAAACAGCCTACGGCAACGTTCGAAAAACGTTGCCGNGCCCGCACCGCAACCACCGCACCATCGCCTGCACCGCACCATCTCCACCGCCACCCAAACCACCATTTCTACCCAACACCTATTCACTGTTAATAAAAAACTAATTTAATCTATCACCGCCAACCACAACCAGTAACGCTGCCACTACCCATTCCGCCACTAAAGCACCAACCACAACCAGTAACGCTGCCGCCAACATCTACATCACAACCACCATCGCGACGAGCATCGCACAGCCAACAAAGAAACTCAAACCACAAAACCACTTCACACTGGCCTCAACCATCAGATCTGCCACCGTCAACCACCACTAAAACAGAGAGAAATCTCGCTGGTGCTGCATCACTCTTTTTTGACTAGCAATCGGATAGATCTAAAGGGAGGCGAAAGAAGTTACGAGGGGGCTGAGGCAGAGCTGATGGAGCCAAAATGGTGGTCGGCAACCCTTTGATGCATGCGGAGGTCCTACCCGAGAAACGCTGCGAGTTCGCAGTAGCCGGGAAATTACGAAAGCACCGGCGGGAAATTCTGTCAATATTACGGGAGCAGCAGTTTCGGGCGGCGAAGAGAGAGACAGGGAAATTCTGTCAACATTACGAGACTCCTCTTCCGACGGGTGGCAAAGAGAGAGACAGGGAAATGGATAGGAACAGTAAGTTGAGGAGAGAAGCGGAGGGGACTAGATGGGGGGAGAGAGAATTAGGGTTTGAGATTTTTAAATTGTGTGGTAGATGAATTAGTTTTTTAATTGTTATATTTAGCAATAAGTTTAATTATAATATTTCTGATTTTTGAAAGAAAAAAGATCCCACCTGATTTTAGAATTGACATCTACAACGGCAGGGTGTGGTGTAATTCTGATTTTAGAATTGACATCTCCAACGGCAGGGTGTGGTGTAATTTTCACTAAATTCAATTCAATTCAAAGAAATGATATGAAATGAATCTTGGGTTATTCTTTAATGGGCTTTCAACAGTGGATTGGTCCATTTGGACACGATAATGGTCAGCAGAGATATTTCTAAGAATTCTAGACGAGTGATTGGTAGCGTGCTTTGATCGAAGTTCTCGAAATCATCTTTTTGTTTTTGTGGAGAATTTGCAAAACTCGATTGCTATCAATTTTACCGCATTTCGATGAAAGAAGCCAACAACAATACTAATGAGATTCTAACAAAAAAGAATAATGATACTCGCAGTCGCTCACTGTAGCAGTCGTCTTATGTGGCACGCACATGTCAAATGTATATTTGATATATTAAATGAGGTCAAAAACTAACACATTAATGCATCAAATAACTACATGCCGTGTATGTGCCACATAGAGCGACTGCTGCAGTGAATAACTGCAAGTAGCATTACTCAACAAAAAATGATCATTCAATTTCTTCGAAGAGTAGGAATGCCAGCATGGTGGGCCCATTCGGTTGATTTTCAGGAGATGGGATGGGACTATAATATCCCCATTTAGTTTGATTATTTATTTATTTTGTTATTATTTTTAAATACTAGTTAATAGAATAATATAAAAAGGGAATATGACAAAGATTTAGGATATGCTCAAAAAATGCTGGGTGAAAATCATATTCCCCGTCCCACCTTGTTTACAATTCGGGACAAGATTCCCTCTCTATTTGGGACAGGGCTAGAAATTTTACCATCCTTATCGAAAAACAACTTTGTCAAGTGGAATTAAAACATCTTTATAGTTTATAGAACTAATACTATTTTCTTGGTGTTATGCCTCTTTTCCATACTTAATACATGCTGGTTCCATTGAGATACTCTTCTAAGCTTGCTGTGAGGAAGATTCGAATGAAAAACACGACTTAAGCACGTGCATTTGAAGAAAAAAGCGTTAATACCCGTCATTTAACTATTAATGTATATTTTAAGTAATGTTATCGTTCTATATGTTTTATCGATTTTAAAAAAAAAAAAAAAATTACTAAAAATTGCTTTCCAAGAAAAAGTATAGTTTTCCTGTGTATGGTCTACCTTCATGATCATATTTTGATTGAAAAAACCAGGCCAAGGATCTAACCCGCACTGTAATTTTCTGTCTAATATGAAATGCTTTTACTGTTTTCTTCAGGTCATGTTCAATGCAGTCCTAGAAAACGCTTGCAGTGAACAGGGAGCTAGAATGTCTGCAATGGACAGCTCAAGCAGAAATGCTGGAGACATGCTCGATCGCCTCACACTCACTTATAACAGGTTTGGTCTTAACTGACACTATCATGGTGCATGATTGATACACAATATGGGATGGCATTTGAACAAAATTTTAGCATCTTTTTTTTTTTTTCTTTGTACTATCTTACTGTCCAATATTCCCAAAACTCCCTACCAAACATGCTCTACCAATATTTTCAAATATGCACCTAGATAGTATAGAAATATGATTTAACATTTTTGTATCATGGCTAATTTTATGAATGACTCCCCTCTCCTTTACTAACAGTACTCTTATTCATCTTTCTAATTGAGATTTTTTTTTCCAGAACCCGTCAAGCATCTATCACTACAGAATTGATAGAGATTATTTCTGGAGCATCAGCACTCGAGGGCTAATTCAATAAAGCTTCTGCTGCCCCTCTTGGATGTCGATGAAATTAATTGTTTTGAACACTGTGTTGCATGTTTTTGGTCACTCCTTGTAGATTTTCTTCATTAATAATCTCCCATAATAATCTTTTGGGGAAATATTGTGTTTACGACTTAAACTTTTTCTGAAAAATCACGTTTACCTCTTATTCGTTTGCTCGGTTTCTATCGATAAATTTATCCGAACTATTACAATGTTTTGAGGACTTGTATCTTTGTACATTTGCACATTAGTTGTGTTTTATGGACAGGCTTGATGTCCTTGCCTCTCGAGTCTTGACCTTCCTTATTGCTGCTCTTGGGGACTTCTCTTGAAGAAGTTATGCTGTTTCGACCTGACTAATCTATTACTAAAATTTTGATACGTCATTATGTAAGAGACCAAAATTATTTATATTTGGAAATGGGAACAGTGGTCCTTGTTAGTGAAACTAACAATTGACGTTTTAGTAATAAAAAAAAAAAAGAAAAAAAGAAACGAAAATAAATATATGCTGATTCTTTTTCATCTTGATCATGATAAATGACTCTTCTAAAAATTTCTCATTTTTGGTCACGGAAATTGCTACATTCTCGTGAGGAGTTCTTGAAGGATAGAGAGGATGAATTTGCTACTCTTGCTGGCCAGCTCGCAGAGAGGGAGGCTGCGGTCACAGTTGGTCACGAATCATACCACATGTTCAAACAACAGTCGCCCGCATCACAACCACCGCACCATCGCCTGTACCACACCATCTCCACCGCCACCCAAACCACCATTTCTACCCAACACCTATTCACTGTTAATAAAAAACTAATTTAATCAACCACCACCAACCACAACCAGTAATGCTGCCACCAACATCCACATCTTAACCACCATTGCGACGAGCATCGCACAGCCAACAAAGAAACTCAAACCACAAAAACCACTTCACACTGGCCTCAACCATCAGATTTGCCACCGTCAACCACCACCAAAACAGAGAGAAATCTCGCTGGTGCTGCATCACTCTTTTTTGACTAGCAATCTGATGGATCTGAAGGGAGGCGAAAGAAGTTAGAGGGGGCTAAGGCAGGGCTGATGGAGCCAAAACGGTGGTCGACGACCCTTCGATGCATGCAGTGGTCCTACCTGAGAAACGTTGTGAGTTCGCAGCAACTGGGAAATTACGGAAGCACCGTCGGGAAATTCTGTCAACATTACGGGAGCAGCAATCTCGGGCGGCTAAGAGAGAGACTGGGAAATCTTGTCAACATTATGAGACTCCTCCTCCAACGGGCGGCAAAGAGAGAGAGACAGGGAAATGGAGAGGAACAATAAATTGAGGAGAGGAGGAGGGGACGAGATGGGGGGAGAGAGAGAATTAGGGTTTGAGATTTTTAAATTGTGTGGTAGATGAATTAGTTTTTTAATTGTTATATTTAGTAATAAGTTTAATTATAATATTTCTGATTTTTGAAAGAAAAAAGATCCCACCTGATTTTAGAATTGACACCTCCAAAGGTATGATGGGGTGTAATTTCCACTAAATTCAATTCAATTCAATTCAAAGAAATGATATGAAATGAATCTTGGGTTATTCTTTAATGGGCTTTCAACAGTGGATTGGTCCATTTGGACACGATAATGGTCAGCAGAGATATTTCTAAGAATTCTAGATGAGTGATTGGTAGCGTGCTTTGATCGAAGTTCTCGAAATCATCTTTTTGTTTTTGTGGAGAATTTGCAAAACTCGATTGCTATCAATTTTACCGCATTTCAATGAAAGAAGCTAACAACAATATTAATGAGATTCTAACAAAAAAGAATAATGCTACTTGCCGTCGCTCACTGCAGCAGTCGTCCTATGTGGCACACACATGTCAAGTGTGTATTTGATATATTAAATGCGGTCAAAAACTAACACATTAATGCATCAAATAACTACATGCTATGTGTGTGCCACATAGAGCGACTGCTGCAGTGAATGACTACAAGTAGCATTACTCAACAAAAAATGATCATTCAATTTCTTCGAAGAGTAGGAATGCCAGCATGGTGGGCCCATTCGGTTGATTTTCAGGAGATGGGATGGGACTATAATATCCCCATTTACTGCCTCGTTTGATTATTTATTTATTTTGTTATTATTTTTAAATACTAGTTAATAGAATAATATGACAAAGATAATATGACAAAGATTTAGGATAGGCTCAAAAAATGCTGGGTGAAAATCATATTCCCCGTCCCACCTTGTTTACAATTCGGGACAAGATTCCCTCTCTATTCGGGACAGGGGTAGAAATTTTACCATCCTTATCGAAAAACAACTTTGTCAAGTGGAATTAAAACATCTTTATAGTTTATAGAACTAATACTATTTTCTTGGTGTTATGCCTCTTCTCCATACTCAATACATGCTGGTTCCATTGAGATACTCTTCTAAGCTTGCTGTGGAGGAGGAAGATTCGAATGAAAAACACGACTTAAGGATGTGCATTTGAAGAAAAAAGCGTTAATACCCGTCATTTAACTATTAATGTATATTTTAAGTAATGTTATCGTTCTATATATTTTATCGATTTTTAAATTTTTTTTTTAACGAAAAATTGCTTTCCAAGAAAAAGTACTTGCCAACTTAAAGTTGTTGGCCATGAAACATACTTCATATTTACCAATTTATTTGTTGTATATGCTACTAGTTTTACAGTGTCAAATCCCTCTCAAGGACAGCATTGTGGGAGACAGACATACAATAAAAGGTTGCATTACTAATTCTATAAGTTTTTTTTTTTCCTATTTATTTAGGTTCATAATGTCCTAATCTGAATATCCTCTCTTTATCGGATCCCAATGTTCAATTTTGCTTTTTATGTGCTTTTTAGCATACAAAAGGTGAAGTGTTCATATCCATGTGCCTCAAAAGTATCATAAATTCTACCCTTTTCTTGATCTCCATATGCATTTTTACAATTTTCAAAGAAAAGTTCAAAGTGCATGTCAAACTAGATACACTTTAAGTAAATTTACTTCCGACTTATAAATAGTAAGTTACTTATTTTAAAGTATCTTCTTACGATATGAGATCACGATTTTTTGATACGTCAACATGTAACCTATTGAGAAAGAGGTAAACATACGAGGACATCGAGACGATTTAGGGTTTGTGCTTTATTTAATTTGAAATAAAACAGGAGCTTGGTTCTATATTCTTTCAATTGAAGAGACAATTTTTGCACTGAGCTCAGATAAAGGTTAAAAGGAGCATTATACCTTAAAAGAAGTGAAAGTTTTTATGTAAAAATAATTGAATTGACTTAAAAGTACATGCACAGCACAATTCTCTTACAATTCTAGACTATTATTTGAAATAATAGACTTCTTTCTAACTTGAGTTAGCTTGCATGGCGAGCCAAGTCGAGCCGCTCGAAATCATATCACTATGCATCAAGTAGGGTAGGGTCGAATTCTACGTATTTGACTAAGCTTAAAAAGAATTAAATAATATTTTTATTGAAAGATATTTTAGGACGTTACACTCTATTCTTAGTATCGGGTTTAAAGTTAATGAGTTAAAAATAACTCTCAATTTATTATTAAAATAAGTAACTTATTGACTTGTAAAGAAAACTCACTACTAAGTAAAATGTTTAATCTTAGCCAAACATGATTAGAATGATTGGCTCAAGGAAAAGGTTGTCATCAGCACCAATGTGGAAAAAAACATCATTACACTAAGTTAAGATGAGGTTAACATCTAGTCAATTGATAATGTCTTAATCTAATAATACTTCTCCAATAAGCAATTATGACTTATTTAATCTTCTAATATATTTATGCTCTTCAATTAAATAAATTAACCAATCCAAATACATTGCACAATAGAACATTATTGTTTGTTTGGCACAAGGTACGTGAAAATTATAATTTCTTAAATTAATTTTCAATCATACATTCTTTTAATAAAATATTCACTTTCCTTTCGAAATACAAACATGGGAATCATTGAAATAGTTATTTGATTGAAAGAGTAAGGGCTCGTTCTCTTTACCATTTTCAAGTCGTTTTCTATTTTCGATTTTTCAAAACAGTGAAAACGCATTCTCTTTCCTATTTTCGAAAACGCTTTTTGAAAGCCAGTTAAAAACTTACAAAGAAAAATCAAAACGACAAATTTGTCGTTGTTGAGTGTTTTCAATTATAATCAAGTCAAAATTTTCAAAACGCATTTTGGGTATTTTCAAAACAATTTTTCAAAATGTCAAAAAGAACATATTTTCAACAATTTTCACTCAAAACTAAAAACCCAAAATGAATTCAAAATTCAAAACATAAAATTGAAACACAAAGAGAACAACCCATAAGGTTTTCCCTGATTTTGTTCGTGTCAACAAACAATTTGAAATATCCCCAAAATTCTTCTAACTTTGGTTCAAATAAAATTTCAAATGGAGGAAATCAACTATTGCTTTCAGCTGTTACAACAGCCTTGTCAGCAGCGAAATATTTTCTCGACGATTTGCAGCTTCTTCAATAGCAGCACCAGCTTCGACGACTTGTAAATACTGCATATTTGATTCCATCCATAAATCTATTTTCTTCCCTATGAGTTCTAGTCTAAATAAGAATACGTGAACCTATAACTGACATTCTCAAAAAAAAAAAAAAAAGTATATATTTACTTTTTAAGTAATTTTTCGCAAACAAACACTTAGCCTGTCCGATACCTATTAAAATTTAATTACAATCTCTAATCAAAGTCAACGGTTAATCATAATCACACATTTCATTGGATCCTCAATTTTTGAATTACATATTTCAGCAACTTTTTATCAAAATTTACTAAAAATTTAATTTTAGTTTTCAACGAACATAGGCCTAGTTAAATAATTTCAAAATCTTGTCTATGACACTTCTATGTTTCTTTAATAAATTGGTCGTACAGCTGTCAATTACTAATTTATTTTGTTTTAAAAGGCCATAAATTTCGGGCATAGGTTGAGGA